CAACCATCTATGGGACTGGAGTCCCATGAGTCCGCCATTGAAGCCGTGAATAGGTTGCCTATGAGTCCGGAGGCGCTTGGATGGATGCACTGGGTCTCCCGAAGTGGACTCCTGTTGAGTGCCCCACCCCCCAGGTCCCCGTGCCACTGGTGGCGCCACCCACCTCAGCGAGCTGCCGACGGTCCCGGGACTGGGATCGTTCCAAAGCCAAAGACTTCACCGTCCAGCACCCGACTCAACAGGCCTCCGAAATGGTGGCTTTTCAAGACTTAAAAGCGTCCCGGTGGTGACCTGTAGAGTCGGGTGCTGGTACATGTTATAGCTACAAAATCGGGTGGTTGACCTGGAGTCAAGTGATCTGCCGTCCCTTCCAGTCCCAGTCCCAGGTCGTGTCTGGGATAGATGAAACGATGATGTGGCCTTCTGGCGGTGGCATGGTGGTCGAAGGATTTCGGCCAGTGACCCGTCACAACCAAACACCAGATTGTTGAGTGTTCCTCCTTGTTCACAAGAAGGGTAATTGCAAGAGCCTAGCGTATTGGAAGAGTCATTGAACACCCTACTTTTATCCTTGCTTCCATGAGATATTTTCATCAGGGTGAGCTCTGTGTCGCTAGCAGCCGAGACCGCTGGAGCGACCGCCTCTTCCAATGGAACATCGACATAAATGAGCCTCAAGAATCCATGAACCAGGCATGGAATGCTCCAACATCTTCCAAATCCCAAATTTTGCTGGCAACATCGAGAAGCACGACTACTTCGGCGATGTTCCAAGCTACAGCTCGTGGAAACATCTATAAACAAAACCCTGCAGTCCCTGCTGCAGTCCCTGCAGGCTACCCCAACTGACCAAGCCCCTCGCCAGCTCTTCGCCAAGCCCGATGGCCCTTGAGCTGCCGCGCAAAACCCGCAGAGCTGCCGGTGAGGGCCTCACAAGAATCAGTCGAAGAATCGAGCTGTTTGGGTGGCCAACTGCACTGCCAACTGCAGCGAAATCGGTTCGGGAACTGCTCCAACTACCTGGGGCTCCTGTTCCACATCCTAAGGTTCGGTGGGCCAGGGGTGGGTGCCAAGGGGGTCGAATACCAGCGAACCTGAGGAGATGGGCCAGGAGCCCTATAGGGACTGATCGCTGGAAGGCTATATATATATAATTAGTACCCCCCCCCTTCGGTCTTTCAGGAGCCATAGAAAGCTGTGCAGCATGGTCGACAGTCCACCGGAAAGCGACGAGAACGCGGACGGTTCCACCAAAACGACACCCACACGGCCACCGCTTAGCTAGCTAGAACCTGCTCCAGTTTCTCCAGAAATCAAGTCAAAACTCTAACTGCCCCAGTTAGAATGCAACACACTGGAGAAACAACTGGAGCGAGAAAGTGGAAAGGCACTCAAAATCCAACATGCCAAACGTCTCAACACCCTGAAACCGAGACCACAAATCCCCTAGATTCAAGAAGGATGCTGGTCAGAAGCTGATCAGAAGGATCGCGGCCACTGGCCGGGTACATGGTGAATCTGTTGCTGCTATACTATCAAACACTCAGATCCAATCTCATATAAAACACCTCAGGAAATCATGGATCTTGCACACCAGATCTAGCAGCTTCTTACTTCTGTCATAAGAGTCATATAATATGTCATGATATTGAGTATATATAATCCTATTCTAAAACTGCTCCTATTTCGGTCTTCTTCACCCTTTTCCCCCTTTCCACGGTTTCTGGGACTCCCCACACCAGTGGCGGTGCCAGCCAGACCACCCAGGGCACAGCCCACGGGCAAAGAGAGGCCAAAGGTGAAGAGTGCTGGGACCTGAGACTCTCAAACATAATGAATGGCATATTTATACTGATCACTTGGGGCAGTTTGCAGGGTCAACATATCCCCAGCACTGGTACATGGGACTGGCATAAGGCCCTGATCCAATGGCGGTGTTTTGGGCCTCACATTTTTGGATGAATCATATGTCTACATCAACACAATCTAAAGGAGGTGCTTCAATCTTGGGCATCTCACTGGGGAGACCCTGAATCAATCAACAACTCGCTTTCTGGTCTGTGTTTCCTTTCCCAGAATGGTTTCTTCGATTTTAAACAGGGTGTACAAACAGTTGACCAACTATGCATTGCACAACCATCCTGAAACAAACAACATATGACCAAACCAAAAAAATGACCAGTTTCGTATCGTATAATTGTTTCATGTTCTATAAATAGTTGTTTAAATTCTACTCCAGGACGACTTGTGCACACATATCGGGCCTGAAGTGACATGACGGGTCTTGCGAGTCCAAAGTCCAAATGAGTGACATGAAATCCTTTAGGGTGAAACAACTTGGTGAGGTGATTGGTGCTGCTGGGGTCGATGACCATTTTGGCAATCACTTGAATTGTGGAGAGCGGAACATGAATTCCCTCCATGCTGGGGTTTAAACATCCGTGGCTTAGTAAGGAACTCTTAAAGGCTGAGGTCCAAACACTCCAAAGGGCGGTCAATTGTGGATGTCTCTTGCGCATTTCAGAGATTTTGACCGGGACTGCTAGGGCGGGAGTCTGCACTGGATTGGAAAGGCAGCGTTTTTTCGGTCCTCCCTTTCGCTCCTCCGGCCAGTGGACGGTGTTGGTCGGTGCTTTCCAGGCTAAAACAGGATTGCCGGGACACACACACACATCACAGAGCTGATGGCTGGTGGGCGAGCAGCCCATAATCACTCCAAACAACATTGACATCACCTGAGCATGTTTGATGCATTCATCCAATCCTCGGAAACCTACCGACTTTAAATCCTTGGAACTTCAATCACTTCAATCCTTAAAAACAATCAGGATTTCTATGGAATTTGTTGCACCGTGACACAGGACTTTCCAAGCCTTCGAACCAGAAATCTGTCGATCCCAGAAGAAGTGCATTAGACATTCATTGTCAGCACACACCGTGGCACACACCCAAAAAAGCACTAAAATTCCCCTTCCGAGCAGCAGCTCCCAGGCACAGCCCACATGCGGCGCCCACCGTGGCACCAATGACCTGGGCAACGGGCGCCGTCGGCGGTCGGAATCGCTATCGAGCACGGGTATAGGTCGACCTGACCTGTCGTGTTCAAGCACGCACCGGACTTCACTTCAATCCTTTGCGTCGATCAGTCAGAACTTGAAGAAAACACGACGGAACATGCAAAAAACACTGCACCATTGCATAAGACGCTACTGATCGAAGTCAGCAGGGCCCCGCCCATGCACCCACCCTGGCCAACATTCCACTCATGCTCATGCCATCTCATGCCGATGACATGAAGTCTGTCTGTCAGCGGTACTGTATAGGAAGCAGCTGACAAGCCAAAGACATCCCTTAGGGCTCCAAGTACCTGCTGAGAAGGTGTTTGGGGTGGGTTTGGAGGGTCCAACTACTGAGAAGGCACTTGAAGCCCTAGGGATCAACATCCCTCTTAGGGTGACGTCTAGGAATCTAGGAGTTCCGCATATGAAAAGTGCAGGAGCAAGACCTTGCCAGTGTGACATGGAGAGATGGGCTGCGTGATAGACCCATCTCCATGGATCTTGGTCAAGTGATAAATTTCATGTTTTCAGGAACCCGTTGCGTATTCCGACAGAGCGATTCTGATGATGGTCGTGATCCTATTGGTTATACGCACCGTAGGGGCATCTACTTGATCTAATGAAGGCGGCTCTTTGTTGGCCCACGTGTCGCAAACCGCTTGGACTTGCAGCGGGGAAGTACGTAACCCTCGACACGCATTTGAGTGAGCCATAGTGAGCCCATGAAATGCCCTTGGTGCACTGTAAAGACCGACATTAAATTAGCTCTTCCAGTGCTGCTTCTGATATTCGACGCAAATACCGTGAAACCAAACCAAACGCACCACACACAGCAAGATCACCCAAATGTTCCATTCGTTCTACCTTTGTGGGACATAGAGTCCTACAGCACACCAAACAAACTATTAGTTTCACAAAAATACTAGATACTATATAGGCCAAAGGTGAAGGGTTCAACCTGGTGAAGGCACATTTGTCCCTGTCCATGTTAGTTCAAACACCTCTAGAGAGTTCTTCTACATGGTCTTCTACTTGTCCAGCTTTGTGCCGTTGTTGTGTGCAATCCACCCAGTACCCAGTGGGGTCCTTGTAAGCACCGTCCTCCCATTTACCCCGGTTCGTGGCACCCGGTGCAACCATCCTGACAGGCTCTGCGCGTGCTCCGCGAGTTCATGGCGCCCGGACGGCACCCACCGAACCCAAACAAAGGCCACCTGAAAGGGGACGGAGATTCATTTGTAGTCTGATTCAACGTAGAATCTTGATGTGCTTCTTTATGTGTACAAACTCTGAAATGGGGGAGGCCAAACAGCTCTGCTGTGAACTCCCGAAGGAGACTTCGAAGGGGTTCTTGGGAGGCCTCTCTTTGTTTTGTGGAAGGCTCGAATCGAAGCTCTGGCATGAAAACCAAGTTGGTTCCGTTGCGTTGTAACGGAAGCAACTGTGCCAGTAGCATAGCTAATAGCTATGAAAGACAAATTTTGAAGCCGATCAATGATCAATCAAAACCAAGCTCATCAGCCCGCCCCGATCGTCGGTGACGAGCTCAACTTGATCTTTGGAGAGGACTCATCGAAACAGCGCACCATAATAGACCAAGAGAGGTTAAGTGACCTTACAGGACCCTGCTGGGAGACCTATGGGATAGTCTAGGAAATCTTTATCTGCCTGCCAGTTAATAATCTCTGCCAGTACAATTCTGTTTTTTTCCATGCCACAGGAGGAGCGTCAGCACTGTAGCTCCCTTTTGGTGAAACGCCCGGACATGCTGATCAGCAGTCCATTTTGAATGGAAACACCCGGACATGTTGATCAGCAGTCCATTTTGAATGGAGTCCCCACATTGATCCAAAAAGAAAGCAAACATAGCTTTGAAAGCGCATGGTTTTTCTATGGTTGACTTGTCCATCCAAGTCCCTGATGTGAGTCCTTGGTTTGTTTGGCCGACCTTTTTGTAACAGTAATGGGGCCTCCCTATTTGGAGCCAAGACTTGAAACTTCACCAGTCTCGGATCCATTTCTCGCATTCATCAAGGAACTCATTTAGTTCTTCTTCGTTTCTGTACAGCTGGTCCTCTGGCGGATGTGGCAAAGGCTCCCGTGCTGGCTCAGTAGAGCTGCTTGGAGCGCTTGTGCCTTGCTGATTTCAGGAAGCCTATGAAACGAATCGAATCGTGAATATCGAATCGGTTTGGAAACGGAAACGCTCGAAACTAAACGAACAACGAATCGGAAACGATTGAAACGATAAATTATTTGAAACGAAGCGAAACGAAGCGCAGCAAATAAATTTGTTAAACGAAACGAACCGAACCGAAAAAAATATTTTTAAAAAAAAACACAAAAACAAAACGTGAAACGACGGAAACGTGAGCACTTCTGACATTGTGTGCAAAACCTTCAACTAGATCAAACATGCAGCGTGCCGTCAGGCCCTTCCCACACCAACCTTAGGTGCGCCCCCCACAAGAAGAACAGCCAACACAAACCACTCACCCCCTGGCGACGAGCCTGCGGATGCCGCCGCTTCACGGCCTGCGGAAGCCTCCGCTTCTTCGCGGTCCCTTGCCTGTTCCGCGCGTGCCTCTTCCGCCGCCATCGGAACATCGAAGAAATCCGAACGAAGATGAGTCTCGACCTGGGGTTTCCGTCTCGACATGGACATCGACAGGTGTGTGACGCGAGCTTCCCAATTCGATCAATTTGCTGGAGAACTTGGTTGTTTCAGCAATTCAAAAAAGGTATACCAGTCACTCAGTTGATTTGGGACTAATATGGACTATTTAGGCTGGCCACGTGACCCCCTCCCCCCCGGTCGTCCACCTCAATCGCCTGAGCTTGTGGTTGTGGAGCTGGCGGCATTTCCTGAGGCTCGTGGGCTCTGTTGCAGCTAGCGGTCGATCTGGGCAAGGCTTTCGGATTTGCCTTTGGTTTCGCCTTCGCGGCCGGGCGGCTCTTGGGAGCTGCTCTGGCTTTCGCCTGTGCAGAGGCTTTCGCTGCTGCCTTCGAGGTCCTTTCTGCCGCTTTTGCAGCCTTCTCTGCTGCTTTGGCTTGCCTTGCCAGTCTCGCCTCTTGTGCCTTGGCCAACTTGGCCTGCTGCGCGGCTTCCCGTGAGGCTTTTGCTTCTTTTGCCTTGCCCAGCTTGGCTTCTGCCTCCTTGCTCTTCGTCTTTTTGCTCCTGGCGCAGCTTTGTCCTTCTTTCTTTTTGCTCCTGGCGGAGCTTTGTGTTTCCGTTGCCTCTTCCAGAAGCCATTCCCACCTCGAAGTGTTTGCTCGCTTGATCTTGTGGATCTTCTCCCGGATCATGTTCACCTCATCGTCCGTCAGCCAGAACTGTCCAATCCCGCATGGATCTGCAGGATCCAGGGGCGGTGAAGCCTTTCTCTTCGGCATAGCTCTGTCGGGATGTCCGCCCCAGCACTGCTCTGTTGACAAACTAACACACAAACTTGCTGAAAGTGCCTATCTAAAAATGTCTTCTATCTATTTCTGTCTCACTCCCTGCAAGGAGGTTTGCCCTGAGCAGAAATTGCAGCCGAAACAGGCAAGAGACTGAGCTGGATTGAGCTGGACGAAGCTTGCTCTAGAGGGTTTGAGGCTTGCGTTTTCGCAGGTGCTGTGGGAGCAGCGCCTCCATCTGAAAAGGCAGGTCATTGAAAGGATCCTGGGTCAAAATATCTACTCTTGGTGGATACCTACCCTTCCACCCAACATCTTTGATATATCGATCATAATGTCCAAGACCCTCTCAATCGTTTCAATGTTGGGAGGCTTGTATGTCACCAGACTTGAGGGGGTTCCTCTCAATGCAACTTACGATAAAACACGGGGGAATGTCAAAGGTATTCGGAATTGAGGGGGCAGTGCGCCAAAAACTTGCAAAACTGGTGAGCTTGCCATGGTGCTATGTGGTGCTGACAAAAGACATAACAACAATGTTATGCATATATACAACATATTTTAAGTCATAGTATAATTGTGCATGTTGGTAAACAAAAGAACCCTTATAATTTATGTATACAACATGTTTTAAGTGATCATAGTATCTTGGTAAATATCTGTTTTCTTTTTCCAACCAAATCCCTCCTTACCAGAAGCCCAAAACCCTCGTCTTTAAGCTCCTCGTCCCAAGACCGCCGTCTGACCCGGAACCACCGCACGACCCGCACGAACTCGTTCCTCACCTCCGGAGCCGCCCAAGACCGCGGCCAATGCCTGCGGGTCCTGCACGGCGGTGGCTCCACGGGGAACGAGGCACGGAAACAAAACGGTCCCGTGTAGAACTCTTACACCAACAAACTGCTTGTTTTATTATTGTGCGTTTCGGTGCTGTCCAAGTTCTTTTTGTTCAAGTTGCCTGTATAACAAGTAAATTATACATCCCAAATTGCCCAAACACTGCATATTGGGGCTGATATATATTTACCGATCAGGCCAGGGGTGGTTGAAAAGGAGGTTTCAAGGGTCATTGAAGGCATAATATGTTCCATACATGGAGTATCTTCGATATCATCTCTCAGGATGCAAACATTAACCCAAACACGATGCATGGGACTACGGAGACGTACATTGGAGTGGTGTTTTCTCACAGGGGATGGGGATGCTCAAAGTAACTCTTCCCTGAAACCATGGCTTGGTGCCCGTGTAGATTTGGGGCGAATGAGGTTGAACTCCTGGCCTTTCACTCCTGGTCTTGCACAACATACATACATCTTGGAGAATTCCAGAGTTTGAACTTCTCTCATCATGGCAATATGTTTTGCAAAACGGCAGGCTCCTGCTTGAAACTTGTCCAAGAACATTCTCTGTCCTGGTGGGCTCTGTCAAAGGTGGATTTGGTGCACACTTCACCAATTTCCTGAGAACAGTCGCCACTCTGATCGGTACCGTGACTGGAGTTCAAAAAACGATTAGGGTCCATCGTTTGGGACCCAAACATGGTGGTGGCCCCAAACAATCTTTAGACATCATCCACCGACCGACCCGGTGCGACTCCGACCCGCCTGCCGACCGACCGGACCGCCAGGACCGCCCGGACCGGCCGCAGACTCGGCTCCTCTTCCTCTGCGAGGAGGGCTTGAAGCTTCGGATTCTGCACCACTCGGAGCCTCGCGCCGTCGCCGGCGCCGGGCGCGCACCACGCACCCAGCCGGTCGGCGTCCACCTGCCCTCTGGACATCGGATAAAGGAAGAAACCCCACGATCCGGTAGGAAGGCGAATGGACCTTGTTGTTGTGGGCTGCATCGTTGTTCTTGGCGGCCGTAATGAGGTGAACATCAACTGCTTGAAAGATGGAACCATACAATAGGAAGTAGTCAGTGAGTGGTTGTGGTCGCTGTTGCTGCTGTCAGTTGGTGCTCGCTTTGGACCACGTAATCTGTCTTTGAGAGATCCTTATAGCAATTTGCCTTCTGATGATCTGACGAACATGTGTGCTCAACTCCACCCTACACAATCCTCTCAGTTGGGCTCGCTCGCATATCGAAACATGGCCGCCACAGGTCTTTCAGAACCAAATAGTTCTCGGTGCTTAATTCATGTCTGACGGCTTCCAGAGCTGGATTTCAGACTTCACTTGGTCCAGTGATGCAAACAAATATCCTATTTTGGTTTGTGAGCGGGTACAATTAAAGTATAATTATGTGTTTTTGTCCTGTTTCAGGAGGTGTCCGTTTTCAAGTCCCTGCACTGCATGCCGTGCGACGAATTTGGCACATGCAAGTCCCAACAACAGCAAATACGGGACCGCATCGAATCAAACAAAATGACACAATATATGTATTGTTTGGTGCCATCCGGTCATCACATCAGCTATCTTTGCTAGGCATCAATTTAGCTTATATGGCGGGGACGCTCCACAGATTCGATTCACTTATCCAATTGGTTTGTCTCAACATTCGCAGCGTGTCCAGTCCTCCATGGTTTCCTGGTCTTCACACCAACGTGGCCGCCCCAGCAGGCACCCGGACGCCCGAGCGGGCATTGAACACACCATGCTGGTGAAGAGCATCACATAGGCCTGCCGTGTCTGCGGGACGGATCAAGCGACACGCCAGCGCGGGACGGATCAGGATCCAGTCGTACCGAACCTCAGGTTCAGAAGCTACTTGGACCCTACACACCCACAGTGTCGAGTGTCGAACACATCACCATCCGAGCCGAAAGGTGCGACTGGACCCCTAGGGAACCCAATCACTTCATGATTCCATGGGGCTTGAATGATCCATCCACGTGGTGGACAAAAGTACGGTGCCGCAATCCATGGCGCAGTACGGTAAAAGGCAAGCTTTGGGGGGAAAAAATGCCGCATACAAATATCTATATCTATACCTGGGTCCTCCTTTGGGCGGAAAATTGCCTGACCTCAATCCGGCAAAATTGTCCGCCGGATTCCGAAAAAAATGCCGGAGACCTGAAACAACATCCGGATCCAAGATTCTGAAAAACAAAAAGGTTGGATCATACACAAACCCAACACTGGAGCCTTCCCGTTCCCATTGCCCTCGCCCATCTTCCGAATGGCCTAAGAGCAGAACCATCACAAAATATAAGCAAACTTGTGCCCAAGCAAAGACTTCCAAGAAAAAACCAAGGAGTATGTGGCAAGGAACCCCTATTTTTTTGCAACCGTGCCTCTACAGTTTTTTGCAGAGTGGGTTGTTCTCCATGATTTTGATGTGTTTATGTGTTTTTTAAAGCTTGCCTCAGGACAGCCCCGCCAATAACGTAGCAGAACTCATGGTTCCTGTCAAAACTCTTGCTTGAAAGACTTTTCAAATTACAAATCCTTCGGAAGACAGAGTCCAAAAAATACGCCGGAGTTACGGGAAATTATGCCGGCGTTACGGGAAATTACGTCTGCAAAACATTGAGATTCTGAACAACACCTGTTCCACAGCCCAAAACATGTCCGGCAGGCTCTGCAAACCTGCGCAGCTAGAACTATATCCCAGCGCCCCGACATCCTGAAACAATGGGGACTACATTTTTGCCTATGTTCTTTCAGCTTAGGTACACCCACTTGGGTCTTTCAACACGTGAATCGCACTTTACCCACTTCACCCGATTTCACTCGGAAGATCACCTAAACGGATCTGATTGATCCAGTGTGAACCATGCTGAAACCGGTGGAATGAGAAAACAGCGGAACAGGCAAACGAGCACACTTTGCAGGCAAAATCATTGCATCAGTAGTGGGCTTACCTTCAAAGAAATGCGGACCACAAAGAATGCAAAGCCTTCAGAATCTACATAAAGTGACTCGGAAAAACTGACGGACCAAATCCAGAAAAACGCCGGAGTTGGAAGTCGGGCGCCGGACCCTGTAAATGTGCCGGACTGCAGATCTAGGTATATATGATATCATATATATCGATATATATAAATAGGTATTATATAATCATGTAATATGTACAACATATCCCCGGTCAAACCCTTCAATGGTGCAAACTACAGCATACGTACATGAAAGGTCCGGTTTACATAATCTTCCCGCTGGGGGAACAACTGCCCTTGACTTTTTTGGTGATTTTGGGTTGTCAACCTTCGATGGGTCAGTGCAAAAGCTACTTCACACATCTCAAACACCTGCCTGCCCTTCAAACAAGTGAATTCGAACACATTATGCACTCACGTCGTCTCCCCATTCTTGATATCAAAATAATCAACTGAAAATGCACTTTGCTTTAGGGCCTTTCCAGGGCATGTTGTTTCTTCGCTACAGCGAATCGCGATCGAGAAGTTCTAATGACGGACATGTCCCTCTCTTTGACAATGCACAGGTTTCTTTTCCGTTGAAAGATTTGAAAACATCCCGGTGGACCACTGTTGGTGGACCGAGCGAACTGACGTCAAAGGGTGAGGATCATACATCATTATACGATGATGTCAGCCGGCTACCACCCGTGGCATCATCACACTGCCGATAATGCAAAATCCCCCACACGCAGTCACAGACACACACACACACCCGGAGAAACTGTCTAACCCGGATTCAATGCGAAGCCTTCACATGCGGTTCTCAGACCGTGGGAAACACATGCCAACTTTGGAAACTTGAACCATGAAATGATCACACCATCGAGAACACGAGTTCCAAAACACAAAGAATCGGGTCCGAGTCCAAACACACAAAAAGGAACTGTGAACAACTACGAAAAAATGTTGCCCTGGTCCCATTTGTCCAAAACTGAGCAAATACTAGTGCGGTTGCTACGGACCTAAACATGTTTTTCTGTGCATGGGTTCACCCAGGTCATGAACACAATGTTAACTCTCACAAATCGCCCGTGCCGACATTTGGCAAGTACAAATACTTGAACGTCGTTTTTTGAGAGGAAAACGGTCAATCAACGGCTCAAATTTCCCTACTCATGCCAGAACAAAAAATGCAAAACCATCAATCATTTTCAGCACCAACGCTAGGTTTGGTGCTGTGAAAATTGTTTTGTATTTCAAAACAATTCAAAAAATTGTTGCATCCATTTTCCTGTGTTTGGGGTCAACTCCCA